CCCTCTACCCCTATTTCCACCATATCCTCTACCTCGTATAGGCACGGATGGCTGTCTGTCTAATCATATCTCAGGAAAGGGTGGCTTGTCTCATGGTGCCTCGGGAACAACTGAATTCTCGATATCCAGCTCCTGGTCACGGTTTTCGAATGAAGGGTCTATCTATTAAGAGATTTCAAACAACATATGATGGAAGTACGAATGAAAGTAAGATCGGAATAACAATCAAATTTAGAGAACAAAAACTCCTAATCACCCTTCTATAGCATCTCGACTATGATAGTGGCCGGCTCACCACCATAATCGGAACCCCACAGATGAACGATTGCTCCACTGACCACAAAGAACCTAGAGCTCTGATACCAACTTTGTCACAACCCAAAATCGGATACGTGACCGGCGCAAGAGTTAGAATAAATCCCAACCCATGCAAGCCTAACAGAAACACTGAATCTAACTGAAAAATAGAAAGTCTGATATAACTCAAATAAAATTCAAACCGCGCTGACTGAAACATTAAACACAAAACAGAATCCTGTCTGTAGTCAAATGGAGTATACTAGAATCCCAGGAATACAAAGTCTGATGAAACTGAATAATTAACTCTGAACAGAAAAATCTAAACAGAACAGCTGATGCCACGGACTCCTCTCAGCAAGTAGGATCCACTGGATCAGCGTACTCAGAATTTGAAAAAAAAAAAGAGTGAGTCTATCGACACAGTGAATAATAATCTGCATTTACAAGATCAAAGGACATGCATACAGTTATAACAGGTAATTTTTACTAAAACTATTTATTTTCCAAACACTTTCCATCATTTAGGGAGTTCGTAATTCTGAACGTAACATATATCGGGAAATAGATTGGCGACACATAGTCAACCGATAACCAAGACAGCGACACACAGTCAGCTGATAATCAAAGCAGCGACACACAGTCAGCTGGTAATGGCAATAATGTCCGGCTAATAACATGGCAACATATGCCCTGATAACTGAATGGCAATACATGCCCTGAAAACTGAATGGCAACATATGCCCTGAAACTGAAATGGCAACATATGCCTTGAAATGTCTAGCACCATCGCCCTGCTAGATGGGAACCCGTACAGGGTGCAAATCATGCTAACGTATACTGCTGTCAGCTGTAGTGTTCAAAAATTTGAAACTCCCGCAAAATAATGTTTTCCAGTTTTAACAAAACAGTTAACTGAATAATTCTATGTACTGATATAAAACTGAGTCAGATATAAATGACAGATAAGTTTCCAAAACAAATTCAGAAATTACATGCATGTCCCTTGTCATATAATTTAACAAAAATTTAATCAGATTTGCAGAAAATTAGGTAATAAATAAAAACAGATTTAAATTAAATATGGAAAGTAGAACGGCTCATAAATACACATTACTACTCACAGAATGATAAAACTGGGAAATCCAACACTGGACGACACAGCTTAACTAGAATCAGGCGATCGATCTAGAATCAGGAAATAATTGTATAACTAATTTATATTTCTGATAATAAAATTTTACATGCAAAAGTAAGCCCTATTTCTAAATTTTCGTGCCCGAGTCCCTTTTATAATTAGTTTAGTCTCGACCCGTGAAATACTAATTATCAACGTCATAAACCCTTCCTTAAAATATCAAAACTAGTCTGTTCAAACCTCCAAAAATCATTAAATGAAGTGAACCGACCATTAAAGGAACGAACCGGCTATGAACCGTCGTTCGGAGGCTAAACCGGCCATAAACCGAACCTTAAACTATTAACTCGTCATATTTTAATTTTTAAAATATTTAAATTACTTGGAACCGGTTTAAAAGCATTGAACCGGCCTCTAGAACGTTGAATCTGTCGGTTTAATAAAATTTTGCCTTGAACCGGCCTCAAAACTAATTTATTTTTAATAATCCAGAATTTAAATAATTACCTTAATTATTTATTTATTTTGTTTTGCCCTGAATCGGAGATAAATCGGCCAATAAACATGTGAACCGGCCTGGTTTCTATTGAACCGGCCGGTTCTCTATATATTTCAATTTAAAAAGACTTGAACCGGGGCCAAAATGACCAGGAAAACATTGAACCGGATATTTAATAATTAAATTATTAATTTACTAACTGTCCTACCCTTGAACTGAAAGAATTTTAAGTAAAATCTCAATGAACTGGACATTTTTCTTATTTGCTGTTATTTTTATCATTATTTTACTAAAATTTTATTATTATTATTATTTTTTTATACCACCCGGATCTCCGGGTTTTGATTACGGGCCAGAATTGCTCCAGCAGGTTTGGACCACCCGCTGAGCCTCAGCCCAATCCAGAAGTCCAGCAGCCCACGTAGAACAGGGCCAGCCTAGAAGCTCACAGGCCCGTCCAAAACAAAGCCCAACCCTTCTTGTCAGACCTGGAACCTTTCCGGGTCTTCTTCCTAACCTGACTGTAACCGAACCAAAAGTGATGGAATTCACTTACTTGAAGCCATAAAAGATTTCTGGAATTAAGTCTTGCTATGTTGATCGGAACAACCAGGCGACCGAACTGGTTAAATCTTCTTGAAGAATCGATCAACGTTGAACACCAATTTCTGGAAAACCCGATCTACGACCGAAATGTTTCGTCGGCAAAATTTTCTAAAAATCTCTCAATCCTTCTTTTGTTTTCTGTAAATTGCTTGAGGGATTATCTTTTAATACTGCCCTAGGTTTGATTTTTTATACAACTTTCGAGCAAATCACAGAGGATTGTGCTCAGATTTTGGCTTCCAAATCCGCGAATCATCCGATGGATCCAAATCTGAAAGTTTTGATTTCTCCCAGATTTAGTCCCTGCTTTCCTGATTTCGTTCAATTAAATCCCTGAAGTTCTGATTCATTTTGATTTGATCCCTTTAATCTGGATTCTTTTTGCTTTAGTCCTTGAAGTTCTTGATTTGTTCAATTTTAGCCCATAGTTTATAGAATTTATAAATACCCTTAAATTAGGGGTATTACATAAATAAAATATCTCAAAAATACAAATTAGTGCATTGTTAATTATAATATCATATATATTACATTATATATAAAAGTATTTATTAATATATATAATTATTAATTAAATAAAATTTATTATTAAAATATTTGGATTCGAATTTTTAACGGATCAGATTGCTTAATTTTATATGCAGTTAACTTATTTTGGATTGCTTAATTTCATCGGACATTTTTATCGGTTAAAAAGTTTAAATTTCGGATCGGATTCGGATTAAAATCCAACCCATTGACAAGATTGTCCAAGTTTTTATGGGTGATTAGATATTCTTAAAAATTTGGATTTAAAATGTGATGTTATAATATAAAATTTTGAATAATTTGTACAAAAAAGAATCATTTAGATTTGTTGAAAATGCAAAAACAAAAAAAGATAGAGTGAAAAAAGAAAAATCTTGCCACCAGACGTATGACTGTATATACACACACCCAAGTTAGTGGGTGTAAATTTTAGTGGGTGCAATATTTAAAAATTAGTAAAAATATTTTATAATAAATTTGTAATATATATACTTGTTAAAAAGGTATATGCTCTCTAACTTAACGTGACTCTGCCACTGATGAAAGGTGAGGATAATTTCACATAAATTTCCTTCCATTTACGACGAAAGGATATTAATACTCATCTAAATGATATTAATTCAAATACCCACTCTGTTTTTCCACCAGTGGTCAACACAATTTAATATTTCCACCCTTTTTCTAAATGATATTAATTCAAATATCCAATCTGTTTCTGCACCAATGGTCAACACAATTAATATTTCCACACTTTTTCTAAGACAGAATTTATTCTACACGCTTCTACCATCCCCCTCCCAAATCCCAAAGATTGCGCAGTCTTTGTTTCCTATTTGGTTTACTAATTAAACCACCCATAAAATTTAATTGAAATTGCTCTTTATATGTACTAAATAAATCTTGACCCTTGAAGTTCAAGATTTAGATTGTGCTACTTACAAATTGATATGGTAAATTAATGAGTTTCAAATTAAAATTAATATATATACACATATATACATATATACAAGATTATCAAACGAATTTTTACTTAAAAACATTTTTACTCAGCAAAAACAAAAATATAAAGGTGAAGATTTTACCTAATACATATAAAAGAATTTATATACATATGTATATGTGTGTATACACGTATATATATAATTTTATAAAATATAAATATAACTGATATAACACAAATAATAAATAAAAATAATAATTCAAACTAAAATAATCAAATCATAAAAGTTTAATATAAAGTTGATATGAGTATATGACCAATAAAAAAAATAAGAAATTAAATTAAAACAACCATCCTTTACTTGAAATAGAGATTAGAATAGTTCATTTAATGAAAGAGATAAGTATAATAACAAATTATGAAATTAAGATTAAAGCGTGAAATCAATTAATAAAAGTACGATTTTGCCGTTTTCATTACTTTAAAGTACGCTTTCATAAGATTTTACTTAAAAATTTTTTTAGATATAATTAGAAGTATTAAATATGAGTAAAAGTATAAAAACTTACACTTATACGCTCTAAGAAGCGCTTTTGATAACTATTTATGTGTGAATATATATATTGTTCAATTTAGTACATATATTAATTAATTGTTTCAACTACTCTTTATATTTTATCAAATTTGTTTATTTTAGTTTTTCTATTGATATATGTTTTAAAAAATTAGTGATATAATTTTTTTGAATGAATTTAATTGCGCTTCCAAAATTAACATATTTAATAAAATTTAGGACGTAATTTGAAAAATTCGATTCCTACATTTTTTTTTCTTTTGTGTCACTCCCAAATATTTGAAAGAGACAGCTGCCTTTGTTCTCAGAAAAGACACGGAAAAAAACTAGTAAAGTACCGTTGAGTACGTCGCAAGGAAGAAATGAAGAAACACTGCCACGGTCGATCATCCTAGATCGCCGACTCAAAAAGGAAAGTATGCTGCCGTTCCAAAGAAGTCCCAAAACCTCCCACCTCCCCGTGCGAGAGGATAAATACCCGGATAAAACAATTCAGAGAAACGGCAACACACGGAGCGAACATTGAGAGAAAATACATATATTTAGAGAGAGAAAGAGAGAGGAGGGGAGGAGGGCAATGGCCGACATCATAAACTCTTCGGAACTCAGGAATTTCCTGCCGTTCCGACTCACGGAGGTCAGTTCATTCAGTACAACATATTTAACCACCTCTTCGAGATCACCTGCAAGTACCGCCCTCCGATCATGCCGATCGGTCGCGGCGCTTACGGAAACGTTTGGTAATTGATTCATTCATCGAATTTCTGATATTGTTTATGTGGTTTAATTTTTGCGACTTTGAGTTATTTCACTTTTTGATGAGTAATTTTGTATTAATTATGCATTTCGGAATGAAGCTCGGTGTTGAATTCCGAGACGAACGAGATGGTGGCGATGAAGAACGTTGCCGATGCTTTTGACAATTATATGGTTGCTAAGCGCACGCTTTGGCAGATTAAGATCCTTCGCCATTTGGATCACGAAAATGTTTGTGGCTAAATTTGTACTTGCTTGTCCAGATAATTTTCCACAGCACCTGGTTCCGAATCAATGACCTATTATTTTTTCGTTCAATTTTTATGTTTAAAATTTGAAACAGATCATAGCTTTAAGAGACGTAGTTCCTCCACCACTGCGGGAAGAATTTTCTGATGTCTATATTGTGACGGAGCTTATGGACACTGATCTACGCCAAGTAAATCAGTCTGATCTAAGTTTATCAGAGGAACACTGCCAGGTAACACATGTTACTCGTTTGCTGGTTAATTACTTGGAAGTTTCATTTCAAGAGGTGGACTTTTTCAGAAGAAGATGAGAACTAACACAAATATTATGAATTAATTTCCTTGCAGTACTTTTTGTATCAGATCCTTCGAGGACTGAAATACATACATTCTGCCAATATCATTCATGGAGATTTGAAACCCAGCAACCTCTTGCTGAACGCGAATTGTGATCTGAAGATCTCCAATTTTGGTCCTCCTCGGCCATCTTTCGAGAATGGGTTCATAAAAGAGCGTGGTTTCAGCGGATGGTACACGGCACCTGAGCTATTGTTGAACTCTTCAGAGTATACTGCTGCTGCAGATGTGTGGTCTGTGGGATGCATCTGTATGGAGCTTATGGATAGAAAGCCTCTATTTCCCGGCACAAGTCGGGTGGACCAGTTGCGCTTGTTGACCAAGGTAAAATGAAACTTAAGCCGGCCTTCCAGCCGCGCAAGCTTTTCAATAATCTCTTAGTTCTAGCTTATTGACATCATAAATACCGAAAGGTGTAGACTCTACAAGTTAGAAATCAGCTTGTATTTGGTTGTATAGTCTTCAAAGTTTTCATACTTTGGTGTCTACTCAATCGTATTTATCCACGCGCGCACACAAATGCGCACATAGGTACTTACATTTTATATGAACACAATCCAAAATTTAAGGATAAAAAAATACAAATTAAATTTGATTTAATCTCATGCTTACTGTAAATGACTTTGTTAATAACGTTAATAAAATTTTTTATGTATTTTAATACTGAGATGTATTTGAGACGAACTAAACGGCAAACTTGACATGCGAACACGAACTCCTTCCTTGTGCAAGATCGAGGGGACTTTTATTGTGCATATGTTTCTGAGTGGAGTTTGACCATGGAAGAATGCTTACAGATTCTCTTATTTTCCCTAGCTTCTTGGGACACCCACTGAATTAGATCTGAGGTTTGTTCCGAACGAGGATGTAAGAAAATACATCCGGCAGCTTTTTGAATATCCTCGACAGGAACTATCAAATATGTTCCCGCACGTCCATCCGTTAGCCATTGATCTTGTTGACAAAATGTTGGTTTTTGATCCCACTAGAAGAATTACAGGTTTGCTTCGTTATCCTCGCAGACTGTCATCTCTGGTTTTCCTGGTTCTAACTTTGAAGTTCTTCTGTTGTTGCAGTTGAGGAAGCGATAGCTCATCCTTACCTTGCTTATTTTCACGACATAGCTGATGAACCAGTCTGTCCGAGGCCATTCTCCTTCGCTTTTGAAGACTCCTTGGGAGAAGAACGGATGAAGGATATGATTTACCAGGAGGCTTTATCTCTCAACCCTGGGCATGCATAATACAAGAATTCCCACTTACAATATCTTGGTATCAAAATATTGCACTGTATTAGATAAGACGAAGTCTTAGAGCCATTGATTAAAAAACTAATTAAACTTTCAACCTGTTAAGCAGGCAATTTTGCTCTTGCTTTTTTCCTATTTTTACAATTCTGAAGATTTTTGTTTTTCCGGCGAAGTGTAACTTCTTGTAACTTCAGAATTGCTTGTGACGTTGAATGACAGTATTTTTTTTTTTTTTAACCATACTTCGTAGAATTTTTTTTAAAAAATTTTCTTGCAATTGAGTTTGAACTAAATTCTAATCTTATAGAACCTGGATTAGTTATCCCTCCCAAATCCTTATCGCGCGTTTTTTTAAACAAAATTAAACAAACCTAATCCAAAATAAAAAAAATAAAATCTCTTCTAATTATAATATCTATGCATATCCCGTAAGTCAAATTCTCCTGAATCACTTCGTTTCTTTCTTCTTCTTCTAATTTTCTCTTTTAATTACTTTTTAGAATATCATGTATAGTCAAAACGAAAAACAACCATGAGCTGGAACTTACCGTAATAGCAACATTATGAGTTCAAATGATTATCAAATCAATCAATCACCATTCTCGTCTTCTTGCTTCCTGTCACATTCCCGTCCTCTTTGGCAGCCTCTCCTATTTGAATTCTACCCAAGCTAATTAATTTTCCTCCCAACTTAATGTTTTCCCTTCTTGGTACATATAGGTTTGGTTATGCGAACCTCAACCCTAATTCCAAAAGATTTGCCCCACGGCACGACAATCCTCTAGAGCCGTATTTCATGTGTTTCTTCTTTTCCAACTTCTATGTTCATACTTAAAGGCTCGGCTCCAGAAGGAAATCTTTTCAAAAGCACACCGCTTTGAACTGGGTATCAAGCACATGTTAATTGACATATTTTTTTTTGAAAATTTGATTTAATTAAACACTTAATTTTCATCTCTTAAAATTTTCAAGCTCAAATTCAGGTACAATAGCTGATTTCAAAACTCCATGGACCCTCACTCAGCAAAGTCCTTTCGTCAACTGCGCGTGTTGTTAGATTGAAACGGAAGTGAATCAGGGATTCCACGTATTCGGGTTTTAAATTATTATATAGTTAGAACTCCACGTCATCCTCACCGTATTCTTCGTGGCCTCCACGTATTCGGGTCAATATTTCCCATCGCAGATATGCTTTTCCTTTCACTTTGTTGATTCTAACCCTAGGTTTTCATCTTCAATTACTATAACCTCTCCCTCCTCCGTGAGATTAAAGTTATTGATGCCCTCCATCAGATCCTCAGCCAGGTGGAAGACTACAGAGATAATGGCATTCACTCGGGATGGACACGGCTTGCACTACGGCAAGAGAGGGCTCTCTCCCTACCCACCAAATTTGACCCTAAAAATCACCTTTTTGAATCATGGTGCCTTCACCCTTTTTTAACTCTGGATACCTATTGGCTTATTTTTCCAAAGACTAATACTTTGAAACAGACGTTGCCGTTCAAAGAATACAAAATGGCCCATTCTCCAGATCTCTCTCTCTCTCTCTCTCGTCCAAAGCTTTCCAAAGAAGAAAATCACACGTGTAAAGAACTTGTTGATTGACAACATAGTCAATGAAATGTTGGAAGATTCGCAAATGTACTTTTGTTGGGAGAAAAGAGACATATCGTTACGGATGAGTTACGATATATATAACTATCAATTGTGATTTACTTATTTGCGTCGTTTACATTTTACTTCGAATTTTGATACATTCGTAGCAAAGCAAATACACAACTCCATATTTAACCTCTTATTTATTTCAATCAAACTTCAACTAAACTACTTGCTTAACATTTTTTTAAAAAATTTTTGTTGCAAATTTTACATTATAGATCTAGAAACATATTTTCACCTCATCAAAAAGTACATATGAATTCATATATATCATTAACATAATTATAATTAATTTTCACCACAATTACAAAGCAATACTTAGAAAAACTCAAAAGACCCAAAATCAGTGAAGAGTGAGGAAAGAAGTCCAACCAATCCGTCTTTTTGCTCTAACATGTATCACTACCAGAAAAATGGGTTTTAGTAACCGCAGTAACGACCACTAAATATAAAGAAAATCGGTTACTGAATGATTAGTGACCGCATTTATGACTGATAAAATCGGTCAGAAAAAGGCTCGTCACTGATTCGGTCACTAATTAGTGACCGCAAGAATTAGTGACTAATTTGTGACTTTTTTCACAGGGTCACTAATTTGTGACCGTAACTTTTGGGTCACTAATTTGTGACATCTTTCATGGGGTCACTAATTTGGGTTACAATTTGTGACCCTTTTCTGGGTCACTAATTTGTGACCATTTATATATATATATATATATATATAAAATGAATACATATTACCAATTAATAATTACATTAAATTAGTTATTATTTTTTATATATGGGTCATAAAAAAAGTTACTAATTTCACAATTTTTGTGAGGTTACTAATTACAATTTTTATAATTCACAAATTACTCATTCACCATAAAAGAATATAATTCCTATAATATGCATTCATCATTTCAATCCTTAATCATCACAAACAAACATAAAAAAATAATTACAAATCATAATGCATGTAATTTTATATGTGAAATTGTTAAATAATACAAATATATTTTTAATATTCAAAAAATACGCTCTTGATAATTACATAGAGAACAACCCAGTAAGCTTTCCTCAATGCATTCCCTTCTTAGCTGGGTTCTCATTCCAGTTTACTTTTCCATCAATGATCTAATCTGGTTTGTTCTGCAAAAATAAGATAAGAAAATAAATTAATTACCATTATAAAATTTCAAATATGAAATGAAATGAGAAGAAAATGAAGAATAAAGAGGTTTCAACTTTGTATAAATAAATTTGTCTTATTCTCTCATTTATTTTTCAAGCCATTCAATTGACTAATCAGTTTCAACCTTCTAAAGCATATTCAGTGCCCATAACATAGAGAATCAAAGAAATGAATTATCCACACAATCCCCACGTGGGACATCACTCCATCTTTGTTAAACAATTTTTCTAACAAAATTTTATAAACTTGTAAAACTTGGGAACATTCACCCATGTATTTGAAGGAAAGACTAAAACAAAGATATTGAATAAAACAGAGTTATTTGCTAATCTTCTAGTGGCTATTTACAAAGGTTAAGCATAAAACAGGGGAGAAGAGTAACTAGATTTAAGAAGAGACTAACTTACCTTTCAAGCTTCAAAACAGGGGAGATAACAGTTCATAGAAGTAACCAATAAACTAATCTTCTTCCTTGATAGCTTAGTTATGAGCTATAGCAAACTTGGGCCATCTGTTCTACTCATCTCTCTGTATTCAATTCAAACTTCTCAATAAATAGTTTTTTTTTTTTTTTTTGGTAGAGAAAATCATGAATCAGGGAAGATGAAAACCTAGTTTTGGAAGGAAGTGTTACATGTAGGGTCTAGACATTTGGATTAAATAACTTAGTTTTGGGAAGAGAGAGCCGGAGGAGGGAAGAACTAAAAACAAAGAGAGAGTGAGAGAGAGAGAGAGAGGAGGGAAATGAATTTTTTTTTTGGGGGGGGGGGTTCCAAATTCAATAAAGACATCTAAATTAGACAACCCAATTTTGGGAAGACAGAGGGCGAGAGGAGGGAAAACTAAAAATAAAGAGAGAATGAGAGAGAGAAATGAGGGAAATGAAATTTTGGGGGGTGTTCCAATTTCAATAAAGAGACAAGGAGGGAAAATGAAAAATGGAGAGAGTTGTGGGAAAATTTTTGGAAAGCAAGTTTTTAATTTTATATCAGATTCTACGGGTTTTAGGTTAGCTTTCAACATTTTTATATTTTTTAGATTAGAATTCTCTCTTTTTGATTGTTTTTATCAAATTTTTTGTTTTAAAATAATTTATAATATATTTCAATTTAAAATACCCACAAAATTAAAGAAAAATACAGAAACTTAAAACCAAATATAAATTTAGTATTTAATTATAATGTTACACAAAATAGAAGGAAATTAGATTTTAAAATTTGGTTTGGTTTTTTTAAATTTGATTGAGTTTGGTTTAAAAAAATAATCCAAAATTATGGTTTGGTCTGATTATTTTAATCAAAAACCAAAATTTTAAAATATTTCTCCCTCATAAAAAATATTAACATGCAAACCCACATGTACATATATTTATATAAATATATATTTGGAGATATATATATATATACACACACACACACACACACACATATATGCTTACACACATATACTTGTAACTAAACGAGACTCTACTTGTAACTAGACGGAACTGTGCTTGTAACTAAACCAATTGATACTTATGAGACTTGAGTTTAAACTATATGTTTGAAACTGAACAGAGATATGTTTGTAACTAAACGAAACTCTACTTGTAACTGAACGGGACTCTGCTTGTAACTGGATCAATCAATACCCTTGAAACTTAGGTTTAAACTTAGTTTACAAAACAGAGATATATGCTTATAAATGAATGGAGATCTGCTTATAACTAAACGGGGCTTTGCTTGTAACTTGACGGAACTGTGCTTGTAACTGAACCAATTGATTCCTGCAAGACTTGGCTTAGACTTTATGCTTGTAACTAAACGGAGATATACTTGTAATTAAACAGGGCGCTACTTGTAACTGAACTGAGCTGTGCTTGTGACTAAACCAATCAATATCTTTGAAACTTTGGCTTAGACCTGGTTCCTAAAATAGAGATATATGCTTGTAATTGAATAGAGATTTGCTTTTAAAAAAATGGGAATATGTTTGTAACTAGATAGAAATGTACTTGTATAATATAATTTAACAAAATTTATATTTTCTTAAAATTAGTATTTAATTATAATATTGTATAAAATATAATGGAATTAGATCTTGATTTTGAAATTTTAATTATATGAATTTTTAATTTGTATCAATTTAATTTATAAAAATGAGGATATATATATAT